CGGCAGGAGGGAGAGTGCCCCGCTGCCGGCCCCGCGGCTGCACCGTGGGGCTGAGCGCCGCAGCCCGGCTCTAAATATACCCCCAACAGTTGGGAGCTGGGCTGCGAGGAAAGTTTCGAGTTACACAGAGCCCGCCCCCTCCTCCCACAAAGGTTATTTCAGTTTGGCTGGAGTTTTGACGCTATTTCTTGGAGGAGGGAGTTTAAAAAAAAAAAAAAAAAAACAAGAGGAGGAAAAAACCAAAACTTTAGCAATTTCATTTGAAATAACGCAAGAAATAATAGATTTTCTTGCCTCTCTCAGGCAGGCTTGCAAAACAGCCAGGACAGCGTTGCTTTGAGTTGTGAATATACGTTTCAGCTCACTCCTACCTGGATATTTTCCAGGGCACACCACGAATATTTTGACAGTTCCAGGGTTTGTTTTATGTATGTGTTTGTTCGTGTGGTTTTGCGTGTGTGCGCACGCGTGTGCAAAAGCAGACCCTCGCTAGCATGCTTAAAGCAACACAGCTAAATAACAAGCCTAAGGGCTGGCCTCGCAGATCATTACTTATCAAAATCGCCTTTCCGAGGTCTGATGAATATTCCTGCTTCAAGCAGCTCTATGTTTGCATGACTGTAAGATAGAAATCTTTAAAGCACTGCATGTTCATTAGCATGAAAGTGTTGCCCAGAGCAGTGCAAGGATCATATGGTGAAAGGCAAGCAATAAAAAAAAAAGGGGGGGAAATAATCCAGTACATCATATTTCAGGCTCAGCTATAGATTTAGAAACAATAATAAATACGATGGACTAGTGACTGTGTTTTCGGCCTTCTTTTCTTTCCTCTTTCTCGCCTTATTTTTTTGGAAGCACTTAGCAGCACTTACTTAGTCCCAGAATCTGGGTTAAAGCTATCAGTAGGTAACTTCTAAGTGGATGACTCACTTTAATGCATTTTACATAAGAAAAACAGTGCTAATGGTAGTCTTCCCTATTGTTTAACGCTAGATAGAATTTATTGCCCTTGTTCATTATGTGTACAAGGATGAGTTTACAGCAATTACCAGCAATGCATTTTCACCAATTAGTACTGTGGGTAGGTTGTTATAATTGGATTCAGTTCCGAGTATCGGTTCCATTATGACTCAAAGGGATGCTTGTACTGTTAAATGAAAGAAGGGAATACAAAGATAAGTGTAAAATAACCACTTAGTATCTTCTAAGTGAATAAATGTAGACTTTAATTGAAGGGAAAATTATCTTTAAAAAATATATTTTGTTGTAATTTATAAAGATGTGCCACGTGAAAGCAAGAATGAGAAAATGCAAAGCTAGGGCTTTTTTAAATCAGTGCTTTTCATGTGTTTGATCTCCTGCATTTGACTGTTTCTTATTGAATTGGTAAAGTATACTATACAAAAGTAATCACACTTTATCCTATATGTATTTAACTAATTTTAAAAGGGAAAGAAATATGGAACTTATCGAAATAAAAAGAAGATTTTATAGTTTCAAATAGAACTCTAGCTCACTTTTATTATAACATTACACATTTCTTTAAGATTTTCATTATTCCTTCTGTCCATATATGCTACTTCCATTCAGAATTTGCCTTTACTGTCAGTCATGATAATAGGAACTGTCAGCAGGGCAAAGTATTTTATAATTGGACTCTAATTATAAAGTATATCTATGATTAAGGGATTCAGAATACTGTGTTAGTCTACAGCATCCTGTGTTTCACTCAATCTGCTTACTGTTAGTTTTCTTTTTTCTTATTATTTATTCTATTGAAATATTGTAGGAGCAATCTACAGGGCCTGCCCGTCCTTCATAGTAATGTTTCCCCCTTGAAATTGAATCGAAGTGCAAATAAGGTTTGGTTCATTTAGGAGGCAGCACAACAGGTTGATAAAGGGGGACAGCTGCTTTGCAAAAAGTAGTGATGTAACAGGTGAAACAAAACAACTTTATGATTCTCTTTCAGAGATAGTGGTATTTTGTTTCCTGCTATAGATTACAAATGAAGAAGAACAAAGAGAAGTGACACGAATAGGAGTGCCCATAACGTGAATGATTTTGTATTTTAAAAATATTAAATACAGGGGAAAAAAAACCTCAGGAGAAAGAGAATAAAGGAGAGAAAGGGTATTAAAAATTGAAGAACCAAAGGTTAACTGATATTATGTACTTAGCTGTCTACTTTTTTCTCATTGTTTTCAGTCTATTTTTTTCTCTTTCACGAGTTAGTTGAAAAGTTGGTTTGAGGCAGCAGTATTGTCCATGTTTTATGAAAAGAATGCATATTTAAGGCTGTACAGCGTATGAGTTTATCAACAACTCCTTACTGAACAATCACTTTTCCTTCGGTCATCTATTCCTTCTGCCTCAGTAAATATTTAACATAACGCTTTTCCTGAAACACTGAGAATTCCGTACCGCTGCTAATGTAGTATACGAGTATGACATATTTTTAGTAAAAAAAAAAAAAAAAACCTGAAGCAATGCCAGTTTGGTAGAATCTCATTCATTTGATTGATTCTTCTTCTCTGACAAGGCAGAAAGGCTTTGATATATTTACCCAGCAATGTATAGAGAATTTCTAGTGAAGGTATGTCATGTATGAACTGTGAGTCTTAATCTTTCACTGAAAACCTGAGAAGGTGATATAATCACATTTATTGCTTCCAGTATTGACTACTTCAATGCAAATATTGAAGCCTTTTATTAATGGACTATTTAAATATAGTGGTAATTATGTCTTGATCTTTAGCTGTAATGTGTAGCCCCTGATCAATATATGTTAGAGGTTTAGTTAAAATATATCATTTCATTGCATCAGGTATTAGGGATCTATTATATTTTAGTGTTTCATGGAGTGCCATGCTGTTATTTTTAACATAGCAACTCCAAATACTTCAGTTATAGGTGCAGCATTGCAGATATTTTGCACTTGTATGAGAATATTGTTTTATATGATACTCCTGTCACTATAAATACAGTAATGCTAACACGGTACGTAATACACTTGATTCTTTGTAACCCCCATATATGTGTATGTTTACCATCTGTATCGATCTATATTTTAGAAAAAAATACAATTATGTAAATGTATTTTTGTAGCTTTTGTGATAAAGATAGCAAAGGGCTCTCTTTTTTTACAATTCTATTATTTACGTTGCGCCAAACTAAATAATCTCGAGTTTTAAAAAATGTTGTAATCATTAAGTATATTTTTGACATAGTATATCAGAGCAATGTTGATATTTTTGCTGATAGTAAGTAACATATGATATAAAGATGTACTTAACTGTTTCCAAAAGATAAGACTGTCTGTTGTGATTTAAAAAAAAAAATTGTGATTTTGACAAACTTAGGGCTCCTTTCAATCTTAATGGTGCTGTTCCTACAGTGATATTATTCTGGATATAACTTAATGTCTGTTTTTTTCCCCCCTATTTTTTCTCCTCTGCTTCTTTTTTTTCTTTACCTTTTATCCTTTTTCTTCTCTCAACTACCTTGTTCAGTATGTCTGGATTTTAAAATAGAGACTAAAGTTCTTTATTATATTCAAGATGAGTCTGGTACTTAAAGAAATTGGCATAAAACACCAAAGGATAAATATAATATGCATGGAAATATATATATATTTGCAGGTACATGTATATTTTCTATATCTGTCTCTCTATCTCACGTAGGCGTGAAAATCAAGGAATTTTGTAGAAAAAGAAGCTGTGTCTTCCCATTTCTTGTTTAGTGACTCATCCTTACTGTTTTGGAGTCATTAGGACAACTGAGGGATGTAGATGTGACTCATATGAATTAGGGCTCACACAGCTGGGACAGTCATGTTTTTGCTTTCTGCACGTGAACCGAACAAGCGTAGGGCTACTACCACTGATGGGAACGTAGCTGGGCTTGGTGTATAGCATCGCTTTCTATATAAAAATCAGTTAGTGACCGAATGTAGGTAGAAGATATTTATGATGTGTTCTTGTCACACATTTCTACTGTCACACTTAGGGGTTTTGATAGCTCTCATATACATAAAATCTCATCTTTTAGCATAAGATCTTTAATAGAAGAATGACAAACTTACTGCTGATGTCTTAGAAAAGACAGATGTCTTAATGAGTTGTAAAATATCAGGCCCTGTCTCATTTGAATATTGTATTTTTTCAGTCTATTTAAAAATCTTCACTCTTAGGAAAAAAAAAAATTGCTGGCTGAAGTGTACCTTTATATCAGCGAATAGGAAAGAAATCCAAAGATGTAATCCACTTAGAATCGGAGCAGTGCAGTATCACCTCTGAGCGTTTTCTCAGCAGCGCATGGCTGAGTGCTGAGCATTACACAAGATACATCCACAGAGAGTTAAAAAAGTAACACTCCAGTGCCTTTTTCTAGTTGAAGCATATTTAGAGATAAGTGCGAAACAGCTTGTTGATTGGTGTTGTTTTCTTTTTGTGAATATCTCTTCACGTGTGGTGGTGATAAATGAAAATTATTTGGATGCAGAAAACATTTTTCCGTTTTACATAATTTATGAGGTGATTTGTGAATAAGTATTTTTTTATTATTCTGATTTTCTTTCTTTGTTTCCCTCTTACATGTTTATGCTGGGGCCTTAAAATTGGCAAAATCTATAGATCTACATTTTATTAGGTATGAAAATAGAGCTGAAAACTTCAAAATAGACACTGATCATAAGAGACGAAATTTCATTGAAATAAATCAGTGTTGTAGAGGTTCTTACCATCTTTCACTTTGCAGTGATGCTATTTTCAGAACTGCATTGCTCATACCCTGCAAAATGATTTTATCCAAGAATTCAGCTGCTAGAAAGAGAGCTGGATCTTGGCAGCACATTAGCTTGAAATGTATTCCTTGTTAAATACAAGGCCTGTTGTACAGAGCTTAAAAATATTTATCTAGCAGAGCATTTTAAATTGATGGAAGCACGGTCAAATTATTATTGCTTCAATCTTTTGTAACAAAGCAACAAAATGGGTTATAGTTGCCCACCGATAACGGTGGTCTGAGCTGCTTATGCCTTTATTCTTTATTCTTTCCTTTTTGTGAAGCCTTCACCCAAGCTAGTATTATCTTTTAGACCAGCGTTTGGCTTAAACTTCCGATGCATAGGTGATACAGTGTAGGGGTATTTTAGTATTTTAAGAGAGAAATGGCTAAGTCTCTGTTGTTGAACATAGTAAAGCAGAATTGGGCCCCAGGCTGTTTTATGCTTCTTTGCAGCGATATAAGAGCTTTTGATCCCTGTATGCTTGGAGTACATACTATTCTTCGTGTGTTTATGAAGGTGTTATGACAAATGCTGATGTTACGGACTATGGAAAATGTTGTTTTCTAGTGCCTTGTTAAAACATCTGCTTAAGCAGAAGAAAAGATTTACCAGAACATAACACTGGAATAGAGTTGTTGGACCATAGCTATGATTCGCTAAAGCTAGATGACATACTTTATTTATGTCTTGCATAAATACTGAATCGACTTCTTAGTAGAAAGGATGAAAGCTCTGCATCCAGGTGGAAAATATCTAGCACCTTTAAAATATGCAGAACTTAAGAAATACCAAATAATCCCTGTGCTTCCTCCACCCTTGGGCAACATCTGTGCTTTGTGTCTTAGACTGCACTTAGTCCACTCCTACGTGAGCTTTTTCATGCTGTCTGTGTCAGCTGAAAGACAGGTATCAATGAATATTTAAATAATTTGCATCTGAAATTTCAGCTGTTTTTTTTTTTTTCCTTGTTGCATCCCTTAAAGGGCCTGATCCTGTTCAGCTTTTCTCAAACGTATATTAGGTAAGATTGTGTTCCTCAGGATCAGACCATGAGCTGGATTTTGCAGTAATTGTGCCATTGCTAATTATAGCAAATTAGTCATTGTCATTATGCAGTGTTATGGTTCTTCTTTCACTCCTGATTTACAAAAGTAAAAGATAATTGGACCCAATATTGATTGCAGAATATGTTTATTATATTACGAAGTACTTTGTAATACATACAGTAGTGATTTAGTAATTACGGCTTATGTTTAAGGTGTAAATATGTAGCATTAACAGTGAAAACAGTCCAGCTCTCAACTGAACTTAAACCTCAGTGATGTTCATGTGTTGATATTCTCAATTTCGGGCCAGACTGTGCTGTTCGTAACCTTAAATTGAGAAGTTCCATTGGCAGTCTTAGAAAAATTCAGTGTAAGAGCGAAGATTTTTCAGACCATGTCTCAGCATTTTTTAATAGCTAAAAATTAAGGGTGTATGCCCGCGGCCATTTAGCGCAAGAGGGATTTTCCTTTTCTTTCGCCAGCGCTTCCCAAACAACATTTGATCGATGCTGCTCCTAAGCACACTCAGCCATTCGCACCTTCTCTCCGGTCAGACTTAGTATGGTTTCAGCCTGAAATACAAAGGATACTCACTCTTTCTCAAGCACGCTGTGCGAAGACCGTGGCTCACAAGTTGGGAAGGTTGCAGTAACGATGTTAGGGGAAGGACTGTGCTGAGAGAGGTGGTGTTCCTCTCTCCGGTGTTCCTCCCCTGTGTGCCAACGGCAAGGAGATGACAAAGCCAGGAAGCTGCTTTTTTTTGCTCCTTGTGTAATTTTTGCTATCTGTTTGCAAAAATTCTAACAAGTTTATGGAAAAGATTGACATTATTTTGCATCAACAAATCAGCATGCTTTTGCAGTTAATTACAGTAATTCAAAATCGGACTTTTTTTTTCCCCCTTAAATCTGAGGCAGCCCTGAAATATGCATGGAATATGAATGTGAAGTTATAATATTGCTGACTATAATGAAAACTATTTTATTGGATTTTCTACCCTCTTTTCTAATTACTTTCTCACTCCCTCTCATTTGAGAGTTTGTCAGGAGAAGAAATATGGATTGACTTTGTAACAGATTTTCTACATAGTGGCTTAAACATTCTGCATTTTTATAATTTCCTTTTTTATAACAATCATTTTCTTTAACATAGAGGAATATATTGGTACTTTTTTCAGTCCTCATGCATGTAAAACTTCAAGTGAAGTCCACAGAAACGGTCCTGAGTAAGGACCGTTAAACTTGTTCGTTATAATAAATTCTGATACATTTTTGATCTGATTTCTAAAGCAAATAAGAAATGGTTGCTGAGACCAGTATCTATTATAGCAACCAAATGATAAATTCTACTGATTTTTTTAACTGTAGGAGAAAAGCTAAACTTGGTCCATCTAAACAATTTTCTAACTCAAGCGTTCCTATTTCCTGTTCCTTTGTGCAGGTCACCACTACACTGGTCTGCAAGCTTAAAAAGTTCCCTCGCTGTACGATCTCCCTCCCTTATCTTTGCTAGGGTATATCATATTTGCGAAGCGTGGACTAAATCTTCTTTCAAGTATTCATATAAATAAAGTTGTAAAAGTTCTGTGGGCAAGGGTGGCAGGAGTAGGGCCTAAATCAAGGCATGCCATTTATCTCAGTTGTCACTTTTAATATCGTGCTGCATTTTTCTTTCTGCACTGAGGCAGTCGTAAACTAGTCACTACATGGGAAATTTTCTTATTTCTTGGAGAGACTAGCAGTTTGCCACACCTGGCTTGTG